AATAAATAGAATATACCAAAAAAAGTTTCACAGAAGTCTGAAAATTACTTCTCAGAACAGCACCATGAATATGTAAATTGGGATAAAACGTTGTATTGTACTTGTGTAGCAATAAATCATTAATTGCTTGCTTCTTAATTCATACGTGCAATAAATAACTATTAATAATAATAATTATGAGCTTAGTTCATAATCAATAACTTTAGTGTTAAATTAAATTTATAGACCGATTGAAGATAAACCTTTCTTGTAAAATAAAACACTTGTTGAAATTAGGTTTCAATATATATTATTATATTAAAAAAAATAATTTTTATTCTTTAATATTTCTATATGAATAGTTAAAAAAACGAGTTTTAGTCAATTTTTTAGTTAAATAACAAAATAAGCAAAAAAAAATATTGGAGAATAAAGTTGTAAAATAGTCCTAAAATGTGTAAAATATTATATCCCAAATTAATTAATTAGCGAGCTATGAGACAAGAAGCAGAACATCGTGAGCATGCTCTATAAATATTATTTGTTTTGTCATTTGCTACATAGTACGAAGGCGTAGAAGGGCCAACAAAAATTTTACAAGGTTTAGCCAAAACAAACTTTGATTTTTGCAATTTCTATTCTATAATTGTAATTTGAACTTACAATTGAAGGGGTTAGAATAGAAAGGGTATAAGTGCAATTTCTTTAATTTAGGAGATAAGTTCGTTTTGTGAAAGATAAGGTTCCGACGTATCGAAATGAAAAGGATTTAAGTAATTTTCATACTTCTAGGGACCTCTATTATCCAGTAGAAAAACATTACTTGGTAACATAACTTTAACTTGGTAACATAACTTTAACTTCAAATATCTCCAAAAAATGAAAATGTTACTTATACCCTTTTTATTCTAACCCCTTCAATTGTAGGTTCAAGCAAGGGCGCCCACAGAAAATTGTCTAGGGGGGGGCAAAAACTATAAATCACAGTCAAGAAAAAGACAAATATTTTTTATAAAACAATTTACAAACATTTAGTTGAACCTGCTTAACTTTGATATATATTTTTACGAAGTCAATTGAAACAGTACGAAATATAGGGTGCAATCAATAAAGTTAATCACGCATAACTGAGTAGGTATGTTTTTAAATATTATTTATCTAAATTGCATGAACATTTCTTTGCTCCGCCAACTTATAATGGTCAAACTCGTACATTCTATCAGCATTTTTACTAATACATTATCCCAATATTTAATTGCCTTACCTAATTATCCAATCGTAATAATTATTTTAATTAAAACAATCAAATATGTAAATAGAAAAATTATGACCAATTATATACCCTGTATATATTTACTAAAAGAAATCAATAAAATAGACCAGGCGGATAAAGCACATTTTATAGCCGAGCATAATTTTTATATTATGTGACTCATAAGTCCATATAAAAAGACCATATTAATACTAGTTCAAAAGTCAAATTGTTATTAAACTCCATTCAGAAAAAAAGCTAAAATGTTAGTTTAACCTAACTCAAAAATAATGTGACAGAATCGCAAGAAATTATTTAATTATTATTATTTAATTCCTCGTCGGCGAAAGCTCATTAATTGCCTCGCACACAATCTACTGCCAGTGAAATGTATGCTCTGCGATAATAATATGTGCTATGTGCCTGGTCTATACTATACTCTGTACTATTTTGCCTTTGGGACAAGAAAAGATTTAAGAAAGGATTTATTTTCTTGATCTCTAAAAATACTTTTATTAAACGTGAAAAATTAGCCCATATCAATTTATTTACCAATGAATCCAAATTTAATGAAGTTAATTTACTCTTTTTGTAATATGCAATTAATTATATTTTATACATAAATGCATAAATTTGAGGTATAAAAATTTTCATTATAAATGTAAATACAGTTAGATGTAATTAATTTCAAATAATTTGATTACATAATGGTAGTGGCAAATGTAAAAATAAACTAATTAGTTTATCGATTTTTGATAAACAAAACCACAAATGGTTTAAAAAATACTAAAAATAGAATCATAAAATAATTTAAAGCAAGCATAAGTCGTTTTATGTTTTTGTTTTTTAATTAATGAAAACATTTTTTTACCTTTAATTACCTTGGATACTGCAAAACATCAAAAGTGAATAAAAAAGCAATTAGAGTTGGAAATTCAGAGAACTAACATTAAAACTTATATACTTTTTCTTAAAACGATTACGAAAAGTTTTATAATCATGAAATAAATCGAAACTCACAGTAATTAGTAGAAAAAAATTATGGTAAAATTGAGTTGAGCTTGTTAAAAAATTAAGAAAGCACTTTTGATATCATGGTTATATGTCTGTTGAAAAAGTTTTAATTTCTTGTTTGTTTGTTATTTAGATTCAGGACCGGTGCAGGGCCATTGAACTAAGGGCGGAATTTAATAAATGTACCTACTATAAAGAACTAAAATAAGAGAGGACAAGTACACATTTTTAAATCTGTAAACATTAAAAAAATAGGTTTGCTAGAATTTTCCGTAAAAAATTACATGTTTAAAAATATAAAAGTTGTTTTTTTAATTGAAATAATCCTGACATTAGTATATATTTGCGAAAGTATGATTGTTTGTATGTTGGTTTGCATTTTAGGCAAAACGGAGCTACGGATCGACGTAATTTTTTGCATAAAGATAGTGAGGAATAATGGCCACTTGTTTTTACTTTACGTTTTAAACTTTTTTGCCTTTTTAACAGCTAACAGCTATATAAAGTGCGTACTCTCTAAAAGTGAAACAGTGAAATTTTCACTATTTCCGTCAGTGAGGTATTATTCACTGTATAATTAGTGTTTTTCAATATAAATTAGTGAAATTTTTACTTCTCCAAATAAGTGTTTTTTATTATCACTACTTTTCCGGAACTCTCGACATAAAATAGTGAAATTTTAACTTTTTTGAACTATACCTATTTCACTAATTTGTAATTGTGTAATTTCCACTAAATAAATTAGTGCAAAGAAATCGCCACATGAAAAAGTGAGTATTCACTAATTGCTAGTGGTATACTTATCACTGCGGCAAATAGTTAATATGCAATCAGTGAAAATCCACTGTTTCATTTTTAGAGAGTATACCAATGCAACACCACCCGAAAGTTTTGATTCAAAAAATTACAATTTAATATTTCACCGATATTTATTTAGAAAATTAATGTTCTGTAAAATACTTGAAAATTATTGAATGATATGATATGACACATAAGACTATTTAAAAAAAATATATTCAAATGGTTTGTGAGAACTGTCCAAATACCTCGTCACCGTGCTTTTGTTTCGAGCATGCTACACAAACAGGCACCTACAGAGTCTGTAGTCTGTAGTATAGACAGCCTATTTCAGTCCTATTAGACTTTATCAGTACCAGATAGCCGTGGTGTGTTTCAAAAACGAATCACGCTGTCAAGAGCCTTATATAGGCAAACAGGTACAGCGACAGCGGTGAGATATAATCAGCCATCGTATACTCTCCAACGAGGTATTTGGCAAGTTGAATTGAATTAAAATGTTACTTGATGGAGTATACATATATATTAAATCCAAAAAATCCAAGAACAGTTTTGTGATCTCATTATTAAGTGCTAAAAAATACAATTTTATTGCGCGCCACTCGCACCGCAATAAAAAAATTCAGGACTGCATACTTTAAGCCCTGTACAGGTCAAGAGCGGGCTGCCCCAATAATTTTCAGAATTTTTCTATAAGAATTGTAATTAATTTTTTAAATAAATATCGCCAAAATATTTAATTATAAAAACAAGTAATAACAAATGAAATTTTTTCAAAACTTTGATATATATATAATTAATATCCGAATACGAATTATGACTCAATTTCTACTTTCTATGATTTAGATATTATTATATTTATAATAGTGTTCAATAATTTGTATTACGGTTTTTGCAACATTTTGAAATATGTTGAAAAAATGTTACCATTTCGCTGCAAACATTACAGTATTGTGCGAATTAATGTGAACACAAATAGATTTACGTTAAATATTATTTATTGAAAAAAAAATACAAACAGTACTAGTTAATACATATTTTAGTATTATTTATTAGGGAATATGCCCCCTTTTTGGCTCTTATTAAAGCTTCAATTCGTTTTGGCATCAATGTTTTGCAATTTTCTTTTATTTTGTCATCTTAAAACCGTACCTCAATGATAGCCTTAATCAAATTAGTTTTTGTTGTAGAATTCATTTTTATCAACCTGTCCTTGCATATAGCCCACAAATTCTCAATAGGAATAATGTCCGGTGAGTTTACAGGCCAGTCTAGAAGGGTTACCTTTTTGTCCTAGTGTAAATTAGGGGCAATAACCGGCAAAATCACTAACATTAGCAATTACTTAATGCATAATGATAGGATATAGAATATGTCAAGAAAAACCTGTCAAAATTGTCACAGCAGTGTTCGAATTTAAAATAATATAGAAATTCCTAATTTTCACATTAATTCGCACAATACTGTACAAACTGCAAAACTCTTCTTAAAGACCTTTTTGGAAGCAAAAGTTACACTTTACCAACCATATTTATAATAAATATGATGTTATTTATAATAATTATGGATTTTCATTTTAAAAAATAATTGTGAAGATTGATGTAGTACAACTTAAAATAGGTTGAGTGAAAATGGAGAAATTAATTTTTAGTAAAACTTACCGGTATATCCTTAAAAACTTCGGGATCCAATTCCTCAAATTTGTTTTCACTAAGTTTAAGCACATGTAATTTAATAAGTTTTAGAAACATTCGAGGCACCAATTCACTTAGCAAATTCCTTTCTAAATTTAATATCCTTAACTCGGTTAAATGTTTAAAAACACCACTCTGAATTATTTGAATTTTATTATTGTTTAAATTTAATTCAACTAAATTCACTAAACCACGAAAATTGTGATCCAATATATTTTGTATATTGTTAAAAGACAAATCTAGGAGTCTAATAGTAGGAACACCCCAAAATGCATGCTGCGCAATCTGATGCACGTTTGACCTCGTTAAACGCAACTCTTCTAAACTTTTAAACTGCTGAAATATCGATGATACTGAAAGCGTATTTCTTTTAGTTGGTGGCGCTGAAATTTCTAGAATTTCCATTCCGGGATCCATGTCCTCGGTTGGAATGGGATCAGTCATGCCTCCCTTGATGCAGGTGACTTTTCGTTTTCCTTTTTCGTTACGTTTACACTCACAGGATGCAGGACAAAGTGCGTTACTGGTACATAGCCACAATAACAACAGGCAGGACGATGTTAGGTGCCAGTTTAAGAGCATCCTGAAACAAATAAACTTTTGTTAAAAAATAATTTTTAAATTATCTTACCCTTAAACAAGGTATGCTAAACTAAGCAAAAAAAAGATTATACTAGACATTTTTAACTACTTTTGGATCATTTCACAGTAAAATTGAACCCAAGCACAAAAAGCTGTTTCCAAAGTAATTTTGGGACTGATCTTGAATTCGCAGTCCGTTTTTTTTTAGGTTTTGGATATATCGGACTACGAAAACTCATGGTCATTTTATACGTAAATTATTATTTTAAATAAGTCAAAACATTTATAATGCTAACACAGGTTTACAGGGTTTTGAACCCGAGCACCTAAAGGTGTTTCCAAAGTATTTGTTGTTGCTGTATTAAAACTGTTTAGTGCTCTATTTATCGGGCTATAAAAATGTCTCTGTGTTCTAGCATAATCAATTTCGAAAATTTTATTTGTTCTAGTGTTAAACTTAAATTAATAAATTAGGTGAATCAATCAGATTATGAACTATTTTGTACAGGATAATCAAATCAATATTTTTTCTTTTACTTTCTATAGGCATAGAAAAGAGAATTCATTTAAAAATATTGTTTATTCGTAATTTTGAATTGAATAACTGAAGTGTTTTTTAAAATAAATGTATTTCAAGAATTTTACTTCTAAGTGCACAATATAATAAACAAATTCCTTTAATAGAATGAAATTCGCTTGTGGTGCGAATAATAAAACCAAGCATTTTATATGAGTGCTGGCAAATATTATTAATGTGTAAACTGAAACAAAGTTCGTATCGAAAGTTATCCCCAAATTTAGCCGATTATCTACTCCAATTAATACATTGTTATTAATTGTGTAGTTATAATAAATTACATTTACTTTTCTGTGATTTTACATAAAAAATAATATAAATATGGCATATGATATTTTTTTGTATTTTATTTAAAAATAATTGAATTTTTTTATTAGTGTTTTTTTTAACCCTGATATCTTTGAAACGGTTGATCTAAAGAACTTTGACCTTCAGATGTTTTTTGTAGAGCGTGAAATTGTCTATAACTCCTCTCGCTTGGGTGTTGCGAAAACAAACCATTACAAAAGTTATAAGAATTCAAAATTAAAAAAATAAAAATTCCTGTGTTATTGAAATGGAAAAACAACAAATGAATTGAGGCAAACCTTAATATTAATATTAATTAAAATGTTTGTTTTTTAATGTACTATTAATTTTTCAGCACCAGTAGAAAAAAAATAATTGTTTTTTTTTAAACACCCCTAATATATACAAGGTGTTCCTAAACTTATTGGCATAAATTTAGGAAAAGATTGAGCAAGTCAAAATAAGACGAAAACCTAAATAAATATTTTTCCTAATTACTTATGTTTCCAAGATACAGGGTGATAGTGTAACTTATCATATCAGTTTTTTTAATAAACTTCTACTATGCTGATCTTGGAAAGGTGATATCTTGGGAACAATCACTTACTACCAAAACACATATTCACACATAATTACAATTGTTTGAGTGAACACAGTGTCGTAGAAACGGGGGTTGCTTTAAGCTTATTGTCCCATACAAACTTTGAGGTTAGGTTTTTATAACATTTGATGCAATTTTTCGATTACACTGTTCGGCTACCATTAAAAAGGTGAACCTCTCAAACTTCGATAAAATAAACCGTTTCCGAGATATTAGAGATTACAATAATTGTTATATCGCATTATTTATAAGGATTAAAAGGTATATGATAACAAATTTTATTTTTTAATTGAAAAAACTAAAAAGGGCATTCCATGAGCCTCGGGACTTTTTGCCCTGACCTTCACATTAAAAAAAATTGTTATTTTCAATTAAAAAAATTATTATCATATAGGTATCACTCGAACAACTGTAATTATGTGTGAATATGTGTTTTGGTAGTAAGTGACTGTTCGCAAAATATCACCTTTCCAAGTCTACCATAGTAGAAGTTGTATTAAAAAAACTAATATGATAATTAACACTTTATCGCCCTGTATCTTTTAAACATACGTATTAGGAAAAATATTTATTTAGATTTTTGTCTTATTTTGACTTGCTTAATCTGCTCCTAAATTTATGCCACTAAGTTTAGGGACACCTTGTATATTAAGGTGGTCCAAAAGGATATTTTTTTCTCGTCTTGTAATAATATGTTAGTTTATCATGCTGTCAAAATATCAGCTCGATTAAAAATTTGTTAGGGGTCGCTCAAGATTTTTTAAAAATTTCAAAATCGTCAAAAATTGAATTTTTGTTTTATTGTAATTTTTTTTTCTCGTCTCAATATTATTTTTTAGGTTGAAAATAATAAAAATTCTGTAAATTTCAAATCAATATTTTGATTTCTAAAGGTCGCTCAAAGTTCGATGATATTTATTTTGAGAGGTCGCTCGAAAACATTCAAAATACTCTACTTTGAAAGTTAAAAAAATCTTGAGCGACCTTTAGAAATCAAAATATCGATTTTAAATTTTCAGAATCATTATTATTTTCAAATTAAAAAATAATATCGGAACGATAAAAAAAAATCAAATTTTTGACGATTTTATAAATTTTTAAAAATCTTGAGCGACCCCTAAAAATTTTTTAATGGAGCTGATCTTTTGACAGGGCTCCTAAAACATGACAAACCAACCTATTTTCACAAGAGACGAGAAAAAAATATATTATTTTTTTTTGGGCCACAAAAAAAATATATATATATATATAAAGGAGACCTTTTAAAACTAGACTTTTAACTTTTATTGCCAACCTGAATTTTATGAAAACTTACCTTTTGTATTTGTAGTATTGTCCATGTTTTATAATTTTTTCTACTCCCACCTTTAAAACGCCCTTTATCGTACATGTTTCCATGACACTATAGTGTCCTTTTAAATACACATTGACAAGTTGTGGCTTTACGGCGCTTTAGTCACGGGCTAAAGTTAGCAACAGGTTTTTAGTCAGGGGCTGAAGTTAGTTTTAAGTTAGTTGACAGTTGTCAAATGTCATACAATCGTTAAAATAAAGTGCCTTTCTTGTAAAATAATACTAAATGTGAAAATTATTTTATTATATCAATACAAACATACAAAAATATTAAATAATACTAAATGTGAAAATTATTTTATTATATCAATACAAACATACAAAAATATTAAATAGTTTCTCAACGCCAATATTTGAAAAGTTTATATGAACATTGTACTGACCTTTTAATTTCGCCGGCAGTAAACTATAACTTAAATTCGGGCACGGACTCTACTCTACTGTAAAGTCCTCATAAAACATTTCCTTTACTTTCACTGTGAAAAACTGTCAATTTTCAAGATACATTTCGATTTATTATAACATTTATAATTGTGTTTATAAAATGTAAAAATGTAACATTTGACAGTTTCCCCTGTTGTTTCATAGATGGCGCTCTATACAAATTTTTGATTTAAATCATTTTAAGATAATAATAAGTATTTGTCGTAGAAAAAGTATAGTATGCACCTCGTTTATAAACTTTTCTATACACTCATTAAGTTAAGCACTCGCTCGCAAGCTCGCTCGTGCCTAAATTAAATTCGTGTATAAAATGGCTTTAAGTTTAAGAATTTTCTTTTTATTATAAATTTCTGTCCCTAATTTTCTTAGAAATATGATTCAACGATAATGTGTCATAATGTAGAAATTATAAAATAAACAAATAAATAAAATTAAGTAATAACTTGCAGCTTAACGCATTTATTTTTTAAAATAAACACAATAATATTGTCACAGAATTATGGTCATAGGAAAAATATGTGATTTATGTGTTGTTTTAGAAAACACTACATAAAGCACATTTACTTGCAACGGTAAAAATAAATGTTTTGGAGCTTTATAGCTAAAGTTGCATAACACAAATAAACTAAAAATACAACATTGAAGCATTGTAAAGTCTGTCGCAAATTTATGAAATGCATTTGTAAAATAAAGTAAACAGGCTTTGTCTCGTTCGAGTGCTACAAATTGCATGAACTGTGAAATACGTATTATGGCAAATTATAATTATACAATTTGGTATTGCAGTAACTGTAGACTACAGTATGTGGTGCTAATTCTATATAAGAGTAATTTAAGAGTAAGTTAGGTAAAATTTAAGATTATTATTTTGTTAAAAAAAAACAAATATTACGAAAGTAACTTTCACAATCAGGAAACTAAACTAAATCAAATAAAAATTCTTGTATAGCCAAATCCTCCGGGGGAGGTTACAGTTTCGGCACCTCAATTTTTAGAAATAGATATATCAAGCTGTTAATATAGATTGTTAATTTTGTTACTTTGTTTTATTATCTGTTAGCATATTTTATTAAATTAAATGTTAAATTATAGACTTGATAAATCCATGCTTTTCAACATCGTTGTTCATCTTAAATGGTTATACAGTGGGTCCCACTTAAGACTTTTCGTAATTTTTCTTTTGTTAAATAGATCTCTTTTATGTCACTTGTTTAGACGATTAAACTTATAAGAGCAAAAGCAACCACGAATTCTTATTCGGTACACTTAAAACCCCACTTTACCAATTTCTATCGCTCTTAAATACAGGGTGTCCCAATTATAACTTATGGTTATAATAACAATATACGAAAAATTAGTACCTATGTACTGTAATCATTTTGTTATAAAATTTAGTAAAGTTAGATATTTAAATAGGCTATTACAACCATCATGTACGGCTAAACTGTTAGTACTACACTAGATGATTAAAATTATAAGATTATCTGGTTCCAATAACAATATAATGTTGCCACACATTATTAACAAGTTTAACAATAAAATAACTGTCTGAGTAACTAAAACGCCAGTATAATAGTTATGTCATAAGGCTGTTAAGTGATTTTTTTTAGGCTGAGCCCAAAGTTTGAATGCCGACGCGTAGTGGAGGCCTCAAATTAAGCAAAGCACAAAATATACTTTTCAGCCGCATGGGATAAAACATAATATCTTCAAGGCAAAATTTTATTTTTTAAACTA